CTCAACCAATAAAAGCTGGATATGGTGGCACATGCCTGTCATTCCAGCTACGCAGGAAGTGTAAATAGGAGGTTGGTGATCCGGGCTACCATCTTATTACTATTATGGGGCATAAACATGAGACCCTATTAGAAAAATACCTAAAGCAAAAAGGACTGGAGGCATGGCTCTAGGTAGAGTTCTTGTCTAGCAAATGTCCTGAGTTCAAATCCCAGTATCACCCTCAAAATAATAACCTTTCCTAAGAAAGATTTTATTATTATAAAAGCAAAATGTGTTCGTTTTTGAAAACTTACAAAACGCAAATAAGCACACAGGAAAAAACCACACGTGAATCTGTGCACACATACCAATTTTTTTACATGCACAACTATGCATATAATGGACCATAGCCTGTTTTTTTAAATTTTACAGTAAGTCTTTTACCTCTCCATGCCATTGTCACTAAATGTTCTGCTGTGATATTGTAATGGTTCAAGAGTATCATTTTATAGATGCATCACATTTATTAAAACTTCTGGACATTGCTAATCTTTTATTATAAACATCACCTTGAACATTTTTGTAGCTAAATTTTAGCATGCATCATTGCTTATGTATATTTTATGTTGCTGTGAGTTGAACGGCTGGCTGCTAGGGTTTGGATATGCTTTGAATATGTTCCCACCATGGTTTCATATGTTGCAAGCTTAGTCCCCAGTGTGATGATGTGACAGGCAGTGGAATCTTTGAGATGCAGACCCTAGTGGAAGGACATTGGGGCTGCTGCCCTCAGAAAGATTTAAAGTAGTTCTCATGAGAGCAAGTTGTTATCAAAGAACGGACCTGATATGTGCATCACTCTCCAGCTTCCTGTCTCACCACGTGATGTCTCTCTCTTGCACACAATCCTGCCATGAAGCCATCTACCATGAGTGATGCAGCCAGGGGGACCCTCACAAGTGCTGGTGTTGTAGTGTTTGGACTTTTTGCTTCCCAAACTGCCAGCTAAATAAATGTATTTCTTTATAAATTAATCAGCCTTTGCATTTTGCAATAGTAACAGAAAGCAGAGTAATACACTGAGTTAGAGGGTATGCACAAATTTTAGGGGTTTGATATGTACCAAAAATTTGCTCCCAGAAAGGTTATGGCAGTCTGCCAACTCCTCCAGCCTCGGTAGTATGTGAACATGCCCATAATGCAGTCATTCTTTGCAGTATCGGGAAGGCACAGCCAGTAAGAGCATGAGCTTTGCAATCAGACAGCTCTACCACTTGCTAACTGACCTTAGGCAGGTTACTTTAACTGCTCTGAGTCTGTTTTCTCATCGGGGTGCTGTGGAATCATATGAGCTCATGTATGCAGAGCCTGTAGTAAGTGCTCAGTAAATAAAAGCTATTCTATACTTACAAATTATTCCTGCCCACTTTCAATGTCAACCCCAGACTGAACAAAGGCTCCTAGAACCTCTCTTCTGTAAGTGGTGTCAACTGTATTTTCCACACCAGCCCCAACTTCATTGCTGCTGCTTTTGCTGCTGTTGTGGTTTTCTTGGCTCAGTCTTTTCTGGCATGTTGTGATTAATAGCAGGGAGGATTCTTAGGATTCATACATTTATTACCATCTTGCTTTTTCCTGGGTTGGCAATGCTGAGTGTTACAAACCAGTAAAGAAACCAAAGTAGGTTTAAAGGCTATCGTGACTACTAATACCAACAGCAGCAGTTATTATTCATTGAGTGGCTACTCTGTACCAGGCACTGTGCTAAGCCTTTTGTATGGACTGTCTCATCCGATCTCATAACAGTCCCAAGAAGCTCAAAAGTGGGCGGGGACTTGCCCAGTGTCATATGTATAAGAAGTAGAAGATCTGATACTAGACTCCATGCCTGTCTGACTTCAAATTCTGTCACTTAACTATCTTGCATGCTTCTCATCTCAATATAGAAAAGTTCAGTGAGGGTGTGTGTATGTATGTGTGTGTGTATGCATGTTGGCAACTATGTATATACATGTGTTTGTATGTAAACATGTGTGCTCATGTGCACATTCATTGGAACATTTAGCAAAGCCTACCATGTGACAGGCATGGTGAGAATTCCTGGGGACATAATGGAAAAAAGAAAAATTATCTCAGCCCTCTTAACACTTGCTAGATAGTGGAGAAGACCAGAAAGGAAGGAACAAAGGAAGAAAGGAAGGAAGGAAGAAAATAGGACTGCTGCAATGAATGAAATGAACAGGGTGTAGACACAGAAGGTAACAGAATCACAGACTTTAGACTGGAGATTCAGAGTATTTCTGAGAGAGTGACATTTGAGTTTGTGTGTACAGAAACTAGTCTGGAATAGGAAGTCAGGGTCACCACTCCTCTGGGGTGGACGAAAATTTTCAGTGCCAAGAGTGCTTTCTAGAAGGTTCTGGGGCTTTCAGAGTTGTATATTGGTGGGAATGGTGGTGTCTCTGTGAGGCAGGGGTGGTGGCAAGCCTACTAGTTTCACGTGAAGAGGCAGAATGGGAAATAGAGGCTAACAATCTCCAGATATGTCTGGTTGTAGGACCAAGGACCTTAGAAATTCTAGAAGCAGGTGGTGCTCAGAGTTGGAGCATATGGAATAGAAGCCATACGTATTCTTGCTAAAATAAAAATCCAAACTTACCCCAGGGGCCCCTGAATCCAAGTTCCTCACTTGCTCTCCATTCATTAATGTACATTGGTATTTGAGAAGGCAATGAAGTTGCCCCTAGTGCTCTCTTTACCTCCAGAGGGAACTAAGAGGGGGCACCTGGGTAAGAATGTCACCAGGGCCACCTCTAGTAGCAGCAGCAGCCTTGAGTCACTCCAAGGTATGGTTTTAGATGTCTTCTCCCATCCACAGTTGCTGGTCATGGTTGCCAGAGTAATTGGCCCAGGAAGCCTGGGAAAGAGTGGCCCACCCAAATTCAGAGTCTTCACTACATGGGCCACCAACTCTGGAAAAGTGGGTCTTGCCAGACCCTCTACAGCCATTGGGGTACTGTGAACTCAGGGTTGAGACACACTGTGTGTCCCCACAAGCTCCCACCCAAATTGTACTCTGGTGCACCCAATAATCATATGGGACCTTAAACAGCAGCACACCACTTAACATATCAGTCAGAGAATTCTGGGATGGAAACAGTTAAGAGAAATATTCAAAACACCCTGGGGCCCTTCTTTCCACATTTCAAGCATTCAGTGGGCACCTCAGTCACATGTATGAGGTCTGTAAGGCCAGTCCAGATGGAAAGTGCCCAGCTGTCAGGGACCAGGCTTTGTTTCTAATTTGTGCTTAGGACATGCCGTACTCTCATTCAATATGAAACATGGACAGTGATTATATGAAACCAGCTTAATCACTCTGTTTGTACCACACAGTGCCCTGAGTTGCTCCTGGCCTGCAGATATCAATTTTCAAAAATCACATCCACCCTTAGGAACACATTCTAATATATTATCCTTGCCCTTGGTTTCATTAGAAGAGGCTCACCATTGTTCATTGTGAGGTGCTGAGCAGAACGTCTGTGCCACATGGGTTCAGGCTTCTTCTGTTTTTATTATCTGTTTTACATGGTGGTGGGCCGGAGCACTCCAGTACCACTGTGCTGGTCTCCTGGATATTTTAATCTCATACAAAATGCAGTCAAACTGAACATTCAGGAGACATGGGAAAGGTGCCCATGAAGGGAAGGGGGAGCAGTGTCTCAGGCTTTCCTGCAAGCTTATCTTTGTCTCTACACCCAGCCCCCTCCACCATTGTCTTGCAGAGATGAGAGGCTCTAGGCTTTAAGCACCATCTGTCAGCACTCTTTCCCTCCTCCCCTCTTGCCCTAGTGGGTGCTGAGAATAGAGAAAACATCCATCCATGTCATGATCTATACTAGCCATTTGAGATCTCAGATTCAGCTGGTATCCCGGGCACAATTAGGATAGTGTCTATGAAAGCAATGAAGACTCCATCCCTATTAGCCAGTCCACATGAACTTGGCAAACAGAAACTAAGTCATCTGTTGACCCTAACCACTCTGCATTTTCACCAGGAGGTTCAAGCAACTATTTCCCTTCCCACCACTTGTTGTTGCAGCTCAGTTCCATATTGGCCTAATCTACTTTGCCACCTTTGCATCCTCATGCCTCAGATTCTTCTGGAAAATGGAGTTTCAACGCTTAGAGTGTTGTGAATGACCAGCACAAAGTAGCACTAAACTCTTTGTAAAAGTTCCATGGAGTCATATTATTTACAGCACTGGCTAAGCAGCAGCAGTAACCAAACAGAAATCAAGCACTTCTAGAAAAGTTTCCTGAAATAGGTAATTGAACAAGAGTGCAAAGATGTATACAAAAAGACACTCATGCCAATGTTGTTAATATAATTGAAAAACAGAAACAACAGAGCTGTGCACAATAGGACATTTGTTATCCACTGTTGCCATATGATAAGATAGTGTGCAGCCATTTTTAAAAGCTGTTTGGTTCTATTGCTTTCTATTGGAGGATGTTTGTGATATATAAATGAAGCAGAATCAGCTCAAATAATGATGTGTGTTGTGGTATGCTACATATATACATATGAAGACAGCATAATGAAGCCCACCAAGCACTGTTTGAAAGAGGGGGAGGAGAAGGAGGGGCAATGGGAATATAATGGAGGTGATGAACTTGTTCAAGGTATGCTGTACACATGTATGGAATTATCACAGTGAACGCTCTTGTATTATTAATGTATGAAAATCAAAAATGAAATGAAAAAGACGATGTCTGTTGTGAAAAAAATGCATACGTGAGTAGAAACAAATCCTAGAAAGAAATATAATTAAAAGAAGGCAACAGTTGTTTCTGGATGCTATGATCAGTGGGTGTGTATTTGTTTGTGTTTTAACTTTTTGTATATTTCCTTAAGTTAAAAAATAAAGCACGTATTAATCAGAAAAGATAAACTGCTTCCACTTTGAAAATGATAAGTAATCACCTAACAAGTCTTCTAAATCTTTCCTTCCCAGATAGTGGCATGCCTCCAAACCATTGGCGTTTCTCTTCTCTATGGACAAAGCCACAGTCAGAAGCATCTCTTGCAAATGGTGCCACCAGCAGCAGCTTGAATGTGTCTGATCCTGGGACCATGGACCAGTACCCGCTATCCCTGTCTGAGACCCCCTCTGCACGGCCTGAGGAGCTGTGGCATTACTCCTCCCTAGCCAGCCAGGGCTCCCCAGAGCCTCACTACTCTCATGCCTTTCCTGATGGGCACCTGGCTCCAGAGCCCCAGGCTGACAGGAAACGTGAGCCCCTCCTAAGTCTCCTCCAGCAGGATACATGTGTAAACCATCCTCAGGAGCCTGCCATGAGGGAGGATTGCAACCCTGACCAGATAGTGGGGAGTCCAGGATTGTTCCTCAGCCTGCCTCCCAGCTCAGCCCACTGTAAGGAAATGGGTGCTTGCCGATATTTGGACCATGGCCTCTGATTGGTTGTGGTTGAGAGTGAGTTGGCAGGAGATGAGGGGCTAAGTCTAATTGCTGTCTCTCTGGACATGGGGCTGCTGCAGAGGAGTGGAGTACATTACCTCAATAGTCCATATATCTTCACTAGGCTTCACTGACATTCGCACTTTAATAGCTAAAGGACTGCCTAGATAGCCAGCCAGAAGGAACTGGCCTGAATTATTCACCACAGTCTATTGACTTGGCCTTACCCTAGAAAAACAATGGGGTGCTGCCTAAATCATAGGGTCGCATGTTTACCTTGATGGAAGTCACTAAATAATCTATTTGCAAAACAGAACTCTGTGACGTACCTACAGGCTCAGACTGTATTCTCCAAACAGGTTGACAGCTTGCAATATTGCCAGGCTCCTGGGCAAAAACAAGGGCAATCTATACCAACCATCTGCTCCACACATTAAAATTCAAAGCCACCGGAGAGGCAGTCCCATCACTGCCTGGAGATGCAGCTGCCTGGCTGTCTGCGGCTCACTCCTGAGCACTGGGCTTCCCTTGGGTTACTGCCCCCTGACCACCACCTCTCACCCTGATATAGAAACACCCTTAAGGGTCACTCACTTTTCCATTGGCTAACTCACCCAACAGATATTTAATTAGTAGCTACTAGAAGCAAAATACCCATCAGAAAACAGGAATTACTTTTTGTAAAAGAACAGGAAGAATTATCTGAATTTCACCAAAACCAGCAATCCACACTGCCATAAGACTTGCCTTTCATGTGAAATACTCGCAATAATACATATATTTTATAGTTTCATGGGGCCAAGTTTGCATTCTCTGACATTTTGTACTCTGAAAGATTTTTTCTTTTGCAACTCTTTAATCCACACATATTTGTGGTTCTATGCCTGAAAGAAATTACTGGAAGCTAATTACTATGAACTAAGCAGATCGTTTGCAAAAGGCATGTTTAACATAGCCTAAGTGCAGTGCTGTGTTCCATCCTCACTGAGAGCAAGTTTCCCATTAAAATATCTCTCCATTATTTCCAGAGTTTGATTAGCAAGACATGATACAAATGTCATGCTTGGGAAACCTGTGAAAATTCTCACCCCTGTTTTCTTTTTCAAAAATCGTCTCTGGATTCAGAGGGAAAATGAGAGCAAATGTGTTTGTATGTATGCCTGTGCATACACACAGCAGAGTGCTTTTTCAACAGTTGGTTAGAACACAGATGGCTCAAATCATCATCTTGCAAACATAACAACTCTATATAGTTCAAATCCAATTCCTCAAATATTTAGCAAGCATCCACAATAAGTCAGGCACATCATGGCCGAAGGATATTGTAGACATTATTCTATTCCACAAACCTCTAGGCATGTATTCACAAACAAATGTTGATCGTTAAAGTTGCAACTGTAACAAGGTCTTCCCACTATCCTACTGACGTTGGCATTGGTTGTATTCATTGGTGACTGACAAGCCACAATTTGTTGAGGAAGTCAATAATCCTTCATCAGGAACACTGACTGGAAGAAGGGGACAAGTTCCAAGCTCCAAGAGATTAATACAAAAGCATGTGTTTTTCAGCATCTGATAAAAGAAAATAGGTCAGGTGTCTATAAACTGACCTAGGTGATTTGGGACCCCTAGGGTGCTACTGGGCACTTTCTAACCCTCCCACAGATAATTCATTTCCAGTCAAGGTTTCTTCGTTTTTTTCTAGGTAAGAAAATATATGCCTCCCCTCATGGTGGACCTGCCAATCCTAGCCTTGGAAATGAAAGTAAGTACATGGTTCAGACTTTGATAGTGTGGTTCTGTGTCCTGAGAACAAACCTAAAGAGTAAAACCAGGGTCTTCAGCAGGTGGCAGGAGTTTTATGTCTATCACTCAGTATTTTCATGGATAGAATTGGTTTCAGCATGTACTTCATAGCTTATTAAATTTCCTTAACATCTTTTCCTTGTGGCAGAGAAGCAGCTCTACTGAGTTTTTTTTAATTTGAGCTCAACTCAAGCAAGGTAACTCAGATCAATGAGCTAATCCACAGGGATTAGCTGTCCCAGATGTTCAGGGTTCAGCCTAGTACATAGGGCCACCCCAGGTTCTCTGTAGTCAGAGAAAACGCAACTGAGGCCCGAGGTCAGGACTCAGCTCAGCTTACTTTGAAAGTGGTGTCAGTAGGAAGTTCAAAATGAGGACAATGTAGGGGGAGTGGAAGAGGGTCTTCATAGCCTAGGTTCTAGCTTTGAATCCCAGCTTTATTACTTACTAGTCTCAGAAGCTCTGCCTCATTTCTTAAACCCTCATGCCTTATGTGCCCAGTTTATAGGGTTTCTGTGAGCATTTATGAAATAATGTATGCAGATGCTTCGAATAACACCTGGCTGTAGTAAGCCATCAAAACATGTAAACTAGGCTGGGGACACAGTCAGTGGGAAGGCTTGCCTAAAGCTCTCGCTAAGTATGCAAAGTCTCTGGGTTTGAACCCTAGCATAAAAACAAAAATACAAACAATTGAAAAGTACATGACATTTTAGAAGGCATCCTGTGCGCTCCAAACTTTACTACATGCTCTGTGTTTAAGAGAAGACCAAAAGGAAGGACTGCCACCACAGCCCCAATCTCAGGTACTTTTCAGTCTAGTGGGAAAGCAACAGGGTGAAGGTTATATATAGACTCCCATTAGAGGCTCAGTTCCACAGGGGCTGGCTGAGGCTTGAGGCATTCATGGCTGTATTTCAATACCTGCAGCCACCTGGCCCAGAGGGCCATACATATTTATTGAATGAATGAGTGAATAAGTACTGGAAACAATAAAAGAGAATTTAGAAAGGAAATAGTAGGCTGAAAGCCGTGGCTCAAGTGGCGGAGTGCTTGCCTAGCAAGCAGGAGGCCATGAGTTCAAACTCCAGTATCACCAAAAAACAAAACAAAACAAAAAAACCCAAAAAACAAACAAACAAAAAAACAAACAGAGAAAGGAAATAGTAAGAAAATTTCTAGGAGGACATGGTAGCTGACATCTGTAATTCCAGCACTTGACAAATTGAGGCAGGAAGATGTAAAGTTCCAAGTCAGCTTGAACTGTATAATAAGACCCTGCCTTAAACAAAGAATCAAAAAATGGAAAAAAGTAAGAAAATATCTGGCGATATAGTAAAAATTATTCTGTTTGAGGCCCTTGTGTAAGACAAACAAAGGAACAAGCTCTGTGATTAACTGTGACCTGGCCCAAGCTTTTAGGGCTGGTTGAGCTCCTGCCTGAGTTGTGCTTCACGTGAGTACCTGTTGAAGGGAATGAGCTCGGCTGACCTTTAATATATGAAACTCAGTATTGTGATGTCCCCTAGGTGTTAATAGACTCTACATTATTTTATTATAAATCTAGACATTGCTGATAACTTAATGCTTTTAAATTGCTTAAAGGCCAAAAATAACAGCAACAACATTTATTGGTGACAATACACCATCTCTTTAGTCTCCACAATGACCTCGTGATATGTATATGTATGTGTGTGAGAGAGAAATACACACATTCTAGGTGTATTTTCACAATAGATTTTCAGCAAATAATGGTTGAATGAAAATGAACACTCCCATTTTATAAATGAGGAAATTGAGTTTCAAAGAAGTGAAAGGACTTACCTTAAGATCATACAGCAGTGTAATATTATCTCTTTGTTCTCACAGTGTCATAAGATCCTCAAAAACAATTCCAACTTAAATAAAGAATACAATAGTGAATACTGGCAACTGGTGAGATTTCACTCTATCTTGGCTTGCTGTCCATCTGTGGCCAAGACACCATTCTCAGAAAGCAAGCAAAAGAGCAGAGGGGTAAAGGGATGATCTTTTCCTACAGAGAGTAATTGAGGGGAGGTGGGGGATGGGCATGTGGCTGCCAACAGTCTCAAGGCAGCCATCCTACCCACATGGCTCTTGGTTGAGGGAGGCTGCATGAAGTAGGAAGGGGAGGAGAACTTCCCAGAGCTCCAAATAAAAGAAACACAAGACCCAGCAAAGCCCAAGCTCTTAAGTAGGACACACTACTCTCTCAACCTTGCCTGATGCTAAGAACCACCAGGAAGCTTCTTAGATGCCTGAGTTATGTGCTACTCTTCTTGGTTGGGTAGATCTGGTAGAGACTTATTCACTTCCTCTTGTATTTTATTCTTGGTATATTTTATATTAACCTCATTTGGAAGTGAACATGAATCTTTTGGTAGGAATTCAGTAGTTCTGAAGGATCTGCTATGTGAGACCCCAGATAAATATTTGTCAAAGGAAGGAAGGCAGAGTCTCTTACTGCTTTTCCAATATGGACTTAGTCCCCTCATGTACCTATGAGGCAGGGGCTATGTGGAGCAGAAGAAAAATCAGAGGCAGAGGGGTGGTCAAAGAGTCCTTGGAGAAGGCATTCCAGAGGTGAGTCCCAAAGACATGGTATCAGCAGTTCTAGTGAATTTGATTTGATTTTTTTTGTCTGTAGAAATAGACACTGGTTGTGCATTCCTTCAATATATGCAGATAATAGCAATTGTTAATATTGCTAGTTGGCAGATAGTGCTATAATACATACTAGAGATATAACAGTGAATAAAACTTAGTCCCTGTCCTCATACAGTTAATAGTCTAGTGGGGAAGATATAACCTCATACCAAAAGTGGGGAAAACAAAATATTTGGAAGTTATGGTAAGTGCTGTGAAGGAAACACTTAAGGTGTGGAAATAGGGAAAGCTGGAGGCCAAGTTTTGATAAGGTAAGTGGTCAAGGGAGGCCAGTGGTGAAGTGTATAAGCAGGGACTCAAGTATAGCAAGAGAGCCAGCTTTGGGAAGAGTTAGGAAGAAGATGAGTGAGATGGAGAAAACTTCCCCTGCCAAGGCCAGTGGCATGTTAGAGGAATGGGAAAAAAAGACCAGTGTGGCTGGAGCACAGTGACAAAGGGTGAGTATGGTACAAGACAACGCTGGATTTGTAGGCAGGGGCCAAATGACATAAAGCCTTTTGGGTAATATTTGGAGTTTGGATTTCATATCCTAAATGATTTGGTGAGTGATGAAAGGATTTTTAAGTGTGATTCAGTTTGCATGTGATAAGGATACAGAAGGTGTTGTAGGGAGTTTAGATTGGAGAAGGCATGAGAAAACAGGGACCCGGAAGGAGGTAAGAAGTATGAGATTATACCCAGCAGTAGATGGTATCAGTGGGGATGGAGAGAAGCAGATATATTTTAGACATATTGGGGAGATTGTGTGGTAGTGTTGAAGAAAATGGAAAAATCCAGATGAGCTCCTAGGCTTCCAACTTGAGCAAGTGTCAAAACGAGGAAGACTGTAGGAGACCCAACTCTGTTGCTCAAGTTGGAAGCCTAGGAGCCAACTTAAGCTGACAGCACCTACAAGACATCCAAGTGGACATGTCTTTTAAGCAGTTGTCTATATAAATGAAGAGTTCAGAGAAGTCTGGGTAAACATTTGGGATTTGTTAGTACAGTACATAAATGTTACTGGATATGATCATCTTGACAGAGGATGCAGGTAGAGAAGAGAAGAAAGTAGACAACAGAGTCCTACAGAAGGCCAATATTTAGAGGTTGGGGAAGGGAGGAACTAAAGCAAGAGAAAAGACTGAGAAGGAGCAGTTTGTGTGATAGAAGAAGAGCTAGGACAGACACTAAAAGAAGAAAAATGGTTCAAAACAGAGGGTGTCATCAACTGTATCAAAAGTCAAGTAAAAGATGGACAGAGAACTTTCTATTGGATGTGGCACCAGAGATGTGGGTCATCTTTTTAAGAGCAGTTTTCATGATGTGATGTGGACAGAAGCCAGGTCAGACTGGGTTGAAGAGTGAAGGGGGGAATGGTGAGAAAGTGGAGACAGGAAGTGCCCACAGCTTCTTAGAGGAGGTTAGCGTTTAAACGGTGAAGAGAGATGAGGTGGCTGCTGAGAAAACCACTGGAGCTTAGGAAGGCCTCTTCCAAGAGTCTATTTATGATCCAGTAAAAAAAAAAGACAGATTGACAGTGTGAGAGGATAGAGATAACTTCATGGGGGAAGTCACTGAGAAGATTAGAAATGATATGGGAAAATACTGACAGTTAATTGGAAGAGGGTTGTCCTGCTTTGGAAGTGGGTGAAGAACGAGGATAACGACACAGATGCAAGTAGATTTGCAGGCTTGCATGTGGGAAGACTGAAAAGTACTATTTCAGTGATTTCAACAGTGGGTCGGGTTCATCAACTGAGAGCGAGCGTGAGTGTAGGATGTTTGGAGGGAGTGGGGAAGTAGGAAAATGTCTTTGAGGGCATTGGAAAAGTAAGACTGCCAGTAGAGAATTGTAAGCAGGGGTTCTGAGTGCTGATTGGCAATCTGAGGTCATGAATTTCAAGTGGGGGCAGTCAGCGGGGTTGTGTGATTTTTTTCAGTGAGTCTAGGATAGTGTAATGTGCCGGGGTGGGGGCAACTCATCCAAGACTGAGGTTGTATCAAATGAGTGTGCTGGATAGAGAATAAGGAAAAGGACCTGAGGGTGTTTGCAAGTGATTATTATAACAAGAGACTATGGTATCTAAGCTGTCCAGAGAAGGAAATGATGGGGACAGATGGAAGGTGACAGGTTAGTGGAGGTTGATGGGTTGGAGGTTATATAAAAAAAATCAAGAAAAAGACTCCTTAAGACAATGAAACATGAAAAAGTGGTTGGAGAATGGGTGTTTGAAATCGAGATTGCAAGGGTTCCATCTGTGTGGGTGGTGACAAAGTTTAGGGTGTGACCAC